TTTGGAGCCTAACGTAGTGCGATGGTTTGCATGCCTCAGCATTTCATTGGGCTACGCTTGGTGTTGCTCTTACAGCTTCAGAGGCATTTATACCAGATTGGCCAATGCCTACAGGCATGACAAACTCCGTCTCTTGTCCCTCCAAGTTGGGGTGAAGGTGGCTCCTTACTTCGTAAGACAGGCTCAATGTAGCCCAAGTGCCAATACTCCGCTGTCTTGCGGTCAGGTTTCTCAACTACAGATTTTATTGTAGTACCGTAATTGTTCTCGTGGTTAGGTCTGAGCATTCTGACAGTATCCTGCCCAAGGAATACAATTATATGGACTTCTCTTCACATGAAATCTTGATGCTCTGGCCATCGCAGAGGATACTCAACGGCGCCTTATCTGCTGCATCGAGCTGGGTGGATAGAGGTTTGTATGCTACTGCTCAAGCCCTTCCGTCTTCTTCCCCTTCTGGAGGCTCTTACCAACTTCACGAACCTCACCTAATTCAAAGAGTTCCTTCGCTCCCTTCATACGATGGCGAACACAGCAAACAAACTCACGAATTCAGTTACACTTCACAAGTACAATCACCATGCCCACTAACACATACATTTACGTGTATTCAGAAACACAAACCTAGTATGTCACTGGTTAGCTTGCTAAGTTTTTATCCAGTTACCGACCATACCTGTTTGTATTATCATGATCATACCTTCGCACTAGTGCCTGACACTGCCGGGAATAAAATATTTATTTATTTTATTTATTGTACTTTGTCATCCCTATCGTCCCCTTCCAACTTCACTTTTATCCCCTCTGTTTTCAACCCTCCCCATTCTTGGCCCCCTATCATGTTTCACAAATCCTTTTTCTTCTCCTTTCGACTCACACGCAATCGCAACGCGTCGCTCCGGTCAAGTCGACAATTCCATGTCCAGCCAAATGAACAACGCCACTTCATCTGCTTCTGTTTGGAGCACTTTCTCCTCCGTAAGACTGGTATAACTCAATGTGCGCACTTTGTTGCAGATTAGCCAACAGGCACCACTTGCCGGACTTTTGGAGACCCTATCACTCGATACCTGTTGCTTATCAGAACTTCGCCTGCAAGATTCGAGTTCTGTGATTACTCTACGATCTCCAACTTGCGAGACTGGCGGTATTTTCTCATTGCGCTTGTCCGGAGTTGGTGCAGTATCAAAGGCCTGTCGAGCGGATTTGGGCATTGCTCTTTGCACCCGAGATGAAGCTGCCCTGATCGATTGGATCCCAGTCAACATTCGCATTTGTGCTATCAGATTGGCTGAGTCGTTCTAAGCGTCGAAATGGAGTGGTGGACCAACGGTGCTTGTTTGTCACTGCGGCCTATGCGCCCACAAATTGTAGCACTGACTCGGTGAAAGACTACTGCTATCACCAATTAAATGCGCTCCTCCGTCACAGAAAATATACGGATACTGTGGTGCTGGCTAGTGATTTGAACGCCTAAATTGGAAGACTGTCCACTGATGAGCTTCATCTGGGCGGCCATCTTTGTGTAGGCTCACGTAATGATAACGGTGAGCGGTTGCTACACTTGTTTTAAGATGCTCGTCTCTTTCCTCCGAGCACTAACTTCCGAGACAGCACCCGTCGGAAGGTAACATGACGCTCACCAACCCCGGATCAGCCATGGGCGCAAATCGATCCCATAGCGATCAGTTACCGCTGGAGAGGATCTGTCTAAAACTGTCGCTCGATTTGTAGCACGAGCGTGAACTATGACCACGCATATGATTGAGCCGTCCTTCGGATGCGTTTCGGTGGACGTCGGCAACGGCACTGTGAGCGCACAGCTATTTGCCAACTGAGGGTCAGATGTTCACAATGCCTATCAAACTACACTGGCATCCGGATTGAGTAAGCGCTCACTGGAGACAGGTGAAGATCATTGGTCGCATATCCGCCAGACGTTATTAGCAGTAGACATGTCTTCATGTGGAAAATTAAATTGCCTGTCTGGACTTTTGTTCTCTACGCAGTCTTTGGAGCTTATGGATGCTCCTCGACGTGTTTCGCATGGAAGCGAATACATTGAGACTCGAAGGATCTCAGCGCGAAACTGCGTGCTAAGCTAAAGAGAGATCGCGAAGCCTAGTGGTATCATCGTGCCTCGGAGATGGAGACAGCCGCTGCCATTGGTATTCATCAGAACTTATTCCGTTTGATACGAGAAACGTGCAACAGGAAACCTAGTGTAAGCGAGACCATATGCGAGGAGAGTGGACAACCGATCCCCAGCTTGTCAAAGAGTTTGGATTGTTGAGCCGTACACTTTGAGAAGCAGTTTAATCTGTCAGAGTTACCAGCTTCTCCATAGGCCAATTATCGCCCTTTTCCATTGGTCGCTCTCTGTATCCACACTCACGCACAGAAATCGAACGTGCGACCAGACGACTGAAATTGAACAAGGCCGCCGGAGCAGATGGTCTTCATCCTTCACTCTTCATATTTTGAGGATCTGCTCTTTTAGGTGATTTACACAACTTACTAGTAAATCTATGGGATCAGTAGTCTGTCCCAACAATCTAGAGCCGATCCGTTATATTCCCGAATTGCAAGGGGGACTCCCGTTCCGGATGCGGCAGTAAGAAAGGAATCAGTCTACTCTCAGTTGTCTCTAAGTTGCTTGCCTCTGTCGTCGTCCATAGATTAACTGGCGCCTGTGGAAGTCAGATGCCTGAAGAGCAGCCCGGGTCTCGTCGAAATCGAGGCTGCATTGACCACATTTTCACTTTCGGTTAGGTTTGGAGCACCGCCATGTTTATTAAGGACCCACCACAGTCGTGTTCCTAGCCACCATAGGGTGGATGCTGTTGAGCCTTGTCACTTTCAAAGCTGTAGCCAGCAATATGCACTTTTGGGCTTACAGTTGGCGACAGTGGCACGTTTGTATTCTTGTATATGTCGGCGGAGCCCGCGGCACGCTGAGGCTTATAGTGACAAGATCCTGACACGTCATCGACCAGATACACAGATGAAGTGGTTATTTTCACCTGCTCGATTATATCACCGTGCGTGAAATGCGCATGACACATGTACTGCGTGGAGCCGAGTGTGGCACTAATCCCAAGTTGGTACAAACCAAATTGTACGCTTGTTATCATAAATCCCTGTATTGCTTACTTGCCGTGAATCAGCAGAAATTTAACATGCTCTCCTTAGGTACTGATGAGAAGGGGATTGAACTGGCAAAGGCGATGACTACCCACCTTGTTGATGTCGAATCCATAGCCTCTGTGAGCGATCTCTGGCACCACATCCGTGCTCGGGTGACGGTTGCGGCCGTGGAATCCCCCGGGTTTGCAAACCATAAGCGGTCCGGTTGGTTTGGAGACAGCAGTGTGACCTTGGGCACATTGTTATCGGTGAAGACCGCAGCATTCACTGCACATGTGGATGAGTCTGCTGACTGCGAGGAGAAACATTTGCGCATACTTCGACGGCGACTGACTTGAGGAGCTCCGTCCCATCAAGAATGCATGGTGGACAGCGAAGGCGAAGTAGATGGATTGCTACGCCGAACGCCGCCAACATAAGGAATTCTATAACTCCTTGAAAGCCTTGAAGGACCCACGTTAGCCAATGAGGACGCTGTTCAATCTTGTTTTAGCTGCTGCCTACACACAGACTGCAGATGTAATGAAGATTTAGCGAAAACACTGATTGTCTCTTGAACAACCGTTCATTGATCGACTGGACTGTGTTGCACGGGCTGCAACACTAAGAGATGAAGCTGCGTTTTGCTGACAAATCGACAATGGGTGAGACGCAGTGAGACCTTGTTCAGCTGCGAAACAGCAAGTGCGTCGGTTTGTACGGGATTCTGTCTAAAGTGTGGAAACACGGTTGATCTGCGTTGGTGACTGCGCTGAACCACGTGGTGCAACGCGTATGGATCAAAGAGGGAGTGCTGGCCGAGATGGAGGATATCCTTACGCTACAACTGCATTATGGTAAAGGTAGCAAGCAATATTGCACAGCTTATCGTGGCATCAGTTTGCGGAGTTGTGATTAAAGTGATCTCTCGAATCCTGTTCAACTGCCTCGTCACTCTGGTCGTTGAACCGAACAAGTTGGAAGAGCAATGCGGATTCCGTTCGGGTCGCAGCACCAAATATATGGTGCTCGCGGCTGGTCAGCTGCAGGAGAAATGCAGATGGCGACACCAGTCATGTGCTTCGTGTGCTATATCATCTTTGCAGTTCGTCTGTGCGTGTGCCGGCGTTTTGAGACTCGTGCATTTCATGAGTTGGTTGTTGATTCATATCCCCCATGTGGCTGCGCTTGATGTGAACATTGACAAGATGCCTACTTGTCTATCACCTACCACCTCTTCTATACTGGCTCCAGGAGACAGTTGGTCGTTGCACAGTCCTGGTAAGCGTGCTAGACTTGAAGACCTGTTCCATGCATCCAATGTCGAACGGGCTACGACCCAGCAACTGTCTTGTGTACGTCTGGTACGTATGATTCCTAACTTAGACAAATAGGAATGCTGCTATGCATGTTGAAGGACTGTGGGTCGACTCCGTTGATGAAACTTGGCTCCCATCCGCATGCCTCCCGATCTTGTTTCTTCTGGTTTACACTGGATGCTGCAGTGCGAGCCACCCATGGGCCCTGTGTAGGCTCAGGCGTCCATTGGCTCTCCTTGGAAAGCCGCATTGACAAACAAAACCTGAATCGGATGCCACCAGCCATATTTCATACCGTTGCTATTAAGCATGCATATTGCCGGGTTATCTGGAGCTGAATTTGTTTGTAATCTGTTGTTTTTGTCACGTTTGCTTCGGTAGTTATGTTTACACTGTATTAAACAGAAGAGTCAGTCTGGGTTGTAATATCACCTGTTACTTACCTACATGGTGCACGGGCGGAAACCGGACTGGAATCTCTTCCAACACTCAAGGCATAGCATTCACAGTCGTTCGTACTGTTAGCCTGTTTCTGAGTAACCGTTGGACAGTTTCATGATTGTTCTGACGTGTATCGTTCTCGTTCTTCCCACAGGCCCAACTGCCTGTCGTCGATCACAGTCACTCCCACTGTGGTCCACGTTCGATGCAAATTACGCGGACTGTGCCTCAACCACAGCCGAAATCGGCGCAACGAACCCAGTGTTTAGTCGCTCAACTCCGGAATGGCTAGATCTTCGTGATTGCGCCCTTGGGGCACAGCAACCTATATTATCAGATTCTGCGATTGGCTCTTTTCCACACAGAACGGATTCGTCTGTTGATTTATCTTGTTGTTTGGAGCTCTATACCAATCCCTCTTCCAGCAGTGTACTAAATGCTTCCTCCGATGATGTTGCTTCATCACTGGCGCACAAAAAATTCTCTGGTGTATCCCAAACTGCTTTTCTTGGAACGCCGTCTGGTGATGTAAATTTTTCGGTTAGTTTAAATACCTTTGTATGACGGATCTTTTGTATGTTGTCCACTCGCAATACTTCATTTCACGATTAATTTCGTGTGTGTGCTATTCTGTTTAATCAGACACCCTTATTTATTCCCCACTTTGATTAGCTTCTTGTCACCTCTCTGCTCATCGTGTACTTGCTGATCCACACAGCATAACGCTGTCATTCAAATCGCTCACGATTGTGATCCCCTTTCTTTTGCTCTATTTTTATAACCACAGTCCAACCTGCTATGGCGACCAGTCATAAAAATCCCCAACTTTTTCTCTTATGAGTAATGCCCCTAGACATTAACCTGTCCATAACGACCACTTTTTGTCCCTCCCTTGGGTGGTCGCATTAGACAACTTTGACTGTACCGATGTACCGGTTGCCACCTGTTCGCTCTGTTTGTACCGGTTAGATTGATGTTTCTGTCATGTGACCATTTGATGAACATGGGGATGCGGATAATAGCATTCTCTCTGAGTAGACCATGTTCCTCCACGAGCAATGCTAACAACATCAATAGACTGTGCGTTTGTGTCGGAGTGAACACTCCATAAATAATGACATTGTTACAGCACCGAATTGTCATACCACCGGTCCTTGCTATCACTACGTGGCCATCGGAAAGTCACCCAGGGGATTTATCGAGATAGTTTTATATCTTCTGGTAATCATAGCATCGATGTCTTTGATTTTGACAGAAAGGCCCGTATGGATTTTCAATGCCTACTCTTCTTTGGAAAGAGTGAGACCTTAGCTTCTTACCAAACTAGACTCTAGGATGCCTACTCAAAAGCAATATTTGCCCACTCTATTTCAACCACATATATCTGCATAACCGTGAGTGTGATTACCACATGGTCGCTTTTACATTCGTGTCTGATGACTAACATTGTTCACTCTAGTGAACACGATCCCCTTAAATGTCTCCGACATTCTTCCTACTCATCCCATCCCTGGATCGCGTCGGTTGTTTTGTGATACTACGCCCTACTTGAACGGATGTCGAACGAAGGTGATCGGTTTTCTTCAAAAATATAGTGAAGTAATTGATAGAACAACTTGGTCCGCTTGTTACTTGCCTCGTTTTAGTTGGAGCTTAAAGTGTAACTTTACTAACTTTCACAGGCTCCGTCTTGCACACCTTTGGGTACGACTTATTGGCGATTTCGCCTTCGCTCTCTATTTCTCAATTGCTAACTTTTCAACCCAACATTCCAACTTTCTATGTTTCTCACGTTTCCGTGTCATCTCCTCTATATCCTTTATTCTTATTTTGACGATCCAATTCTTTACAATTGATGTTCCGATTGTAGCTGCTTAGTTGGCTTGCTTACTTGCAGTGCTGCTGATACCCTCCGATAAACAATCCCTGAGAATCACGGTGTTATTGTACCTCATGCCCTTGTCCATTTATACGTTATCCGGAATTGTTACTTTATTGTGTCACTTGAAAGAACGCGCCGTAGACGGATTTGTTCGCATCACGATTGTTACCATAACCTCGCCCCAGCACATGTTTCGGATCATTCCCTAAAATTATTTCGGGTGCGGAATTAGTGTTTCTTGTAATGTCTCTTGTTACCATGTAGACTAGAGGTGTGATTTTACCTCCCCCACTGATTGTCTGCATTTGTTTTTGTTTGATCTCTGTATCCGCAAATTTGACTCTTCCCAACTCCATGGCCGATTGTTGCGACCTCCACTGAAACTATGGTGTCGCTTCCTCTCGTTTCACTTATGCTTTCCATTAGGTATACGGTCTTTTTATTACTATTCTCACCCTTCTAAGCAACTCTGCTCCCCAACTAAGCAGCAAAATGTCTCTCTTTGCACTTAAGTTTGTTTACTGTTACCACCTGAAAGAAAGGAACTCTGCACGCAAACACGCCATTAGTAAATCGAATGCAGTGTACCTACAAACGCTGCACCCGTTCTGCTTACATTCTCAGCAGCAACCGTCTTTGTTCAAAACTGGTCCAGTGTGCCTTCTCTCGTGGCTCACTAGACCTACCTGACTCAGGCAATCGCGACCGCATGTGCTACAGCACCATGCGCTTGATGTCGATGGAGTACAACCAATCGGCGCCTGCAGCTTCCGCAACTGCCGCTCCTTCTCCGTATGAATGAGGGTTTTCTCCTGCATCTCGGCAACTGCCTTCGTGATCAGGTCGCGCCATGCACGCCGAACAACTGCTTTCGATTTCATGACCTACAATCAAGATCAGAACCTGAGAGGCTCACTTTGATCATGTCCTGGTAACGAAGCTTTTGTTTCCGCGCATGCCGCTGGCCATATAATAGTTTCTTCGGTATCCGCGTTGAATCCATATGTCACACATGACTGAGCCACCTTCAATGTCTCAGCAAAAGTACGCAGTCCACTGGATACATTCCACATCGGCGCAGCATCTCTGTATCTGAAACTCTGTCGCACCAGCAGATACGCAGAATCCATTGCACACATTGCTGATGGAGGTGCTCGACGTTTCTCACGCTCGACGGTACAACATCCACGTTTTGCTGTTTTATAGAAGAACCCACAGCACCATGGATTTGTACACCATCAGCTTCGTGCCAATGGAAGGCTGATGGTTGTTCCACACTCGCTGCTCTGGCTTCCCAGATGCCACCTCTGCCTCCAATACCCGAATACGCAGCTCACTGTGTAGCTGCTGATCAGTCGACATCACACTCCCAAGGTAACAGAAGCGGGAGGTGGTTTCCAACACATCAGCACCAATGCTGATTCGCGACAATATTGAAGACTGCACCTCCAGTGAAGGCTGAAAGAGACAGACAGTTTTGTTTGTGTTGATGGTGGGCCCGAGTTTGGCCGCAATCGAAGCCAGAGTATTAGTCATGTGCTGCAACTCACCCGCGCTTTGTGTAAACAGTGCACAGCCGTCAGCAAACAGCAACATACGGATACTTGTTTCACAGACTAGAGTTCTCGCACCGAAACGACGGATGTTCGGCAACCCATCATCCATACGGTGCTCCACACGAACACCGCAAGCACAAGCCGCATCAAAAACAAAAGACACAATTGCATGAAGATATACATTAAACAGGTCAGGAGCTAAGATACAACCTTGCTACACACCAGAGACAACTGCAAACCCATCCGAGGTCTCTCCACTCAGCTGCACCCTCGCCCGCATACCACTGCGCAGACATTCAATGAAAGTTACAAAATTATTCGGACAACGAAAATTACCCAAGGCCAGCCACAATCACTCGCGGTTCACCGTATCAAATGCCTTGTTGAAATCAGCAAAAGCGAGTACAATCGCTGGTGTCGTTCTCCGCACTTCTCATGCAACTGACCAGCCGCAAACACCATATTTTTAGTGCGACCCGAACGGAATCCACATTGCTCTTCCGCCATGTTACGTTCCCCAACCTGACTGACGAGGTGGTTGAGCAAGATTCTGGCAATCACTTTGCCCACACAACTCAGCAAGTTGATGCCACGATAATTCGTGCAACATTGCTTGCTCCCTTTGCCTTTGTACAGTGGTCGCACGAGGGCATCCTTCAGCTCAGGAGGCACCTCTTCCTCAATCCACACGCGTTGCCCCAAGTGGTGACACGGGTCTGTCGTGTTTTAGTACTTCAGGCGTGATCCTGTCGGCAACGGCAAACTTACCGTTTCGCAACAGAGCAAATGCTCTCTGCGTCTCCACCAGACTCGCCTTCACATCGTGCTGCTTGAGGCCGTTCAATATAGGCCAGTCGATCTCTGAACGGTTGTTCAAGAGACAATCCAATTGTTTTCGCCAGATCTGCAGTCTGTGTGCAGGTAGCGCCTGAACTACCATCGATCAGCGTCCTCAGCGGCTCCAATCTCGGTCTATACACCGCCTTCAGAGTCAAAGAATTCCGTGTGTTCGCGGCGACTGGCGCAGCATCTCATCTGCTTCGCCTTCCCCGCCCAGCATGCATTTTAACGCGACGCAGCTCCCAGCTCAGCCACCGGCCTACTTTGAGAAACTGACCCTACTTTCCCAAGTCACGGGGGTCTGTCACATGTGCAGCAAATGCTGCATTCTTCCCCGACACCAATGAGCCAATCGTCGCATTGATCGTATGAAACCAATCAGCCCGCTAACAGTTTGCGCGCCCGAATGTCTCCTCGGCAACAGGTGTCACCTGGTCGCGAATGTGGTGCCACAGGTCGCCCACTGTGGCTATGCCGTCCACATTATACAGACGTGCAGCCATCGCCTTCTCCAGCTCAGTACGTTTCGCCACAGTACCCAGAGGGAGAGAATGTTAAATTTACGCCGATTCACGGCGGGAGTGAAATACATAGATTTACGAAAACATATGTACAGTTTGGTCCCCACCAATTTGTGATCAGTGCCACATTCATCTCCACGCAGTATACGCGTTATGCGCACTTCACGCCTATCACGCTGACGTACGATGACATAGTCGAGCAGGTGAACGTGACCATTCCGTGGGTGCGTCCAAGTTGCTATATCACTCGCACTCAGTGCAAACCGAGTTTACGTTGTCGTCAGGCCGTGAAACAAAATAAATGGAATGTGTCAGCTTATACGCCGTAGCGGCGCTTCGCCGCCGCGTGACCACCACCAGTCGCGCGCGGGCTAAGTATACCGCGAGGACGCCCACCCCTACGCGGATTCGAACCGGTGACCATATGGTTGCAAAGCAAACGTGCAGACCACTCGGCCACCGGCCGTGAGTGGCACAGAGTGAGAGCAGCCTGCCACCGTTCGCATTCGCTGAACCAAGGCCATGCGGACCGACGGCATCTCTTCACCCCAATGTATCACGCCCAACGCGCGCGTTAAAATCACCCAGCAGAAATAATCGGTCGCTACTCGGCACATACCATATCACGGAGGATAGCTGAGTGTAGAATTGATCACGCGTGTCATCAGGATACCACATGGTCGGATTGTACATGCTTATAAAAGTGGCAAACTTGTCTCTTCCGGGTCGTAGGTGAACAGT